AAGAGTGCAGCTGGGGCTTTTGAGCAAGTAGGGCTGAAAACATTCAGGTTCATCCTGCTTTTTTATATGAGAAGTATACCAAGGGAGAGAAGGCCCGCCTGCAAGGTTGAAGTCTAATCAATTCTTGACATACCAGGATATTTTATTATATGCTTGATGATAATTCACAAACACCTAAAATATATCAGCCCCTTCCTTCCTGTGATCTAGGTAGGAATTATTCCTAGTGTTCAGGACAGTAAACAGTTTCACTCCTGACTGTTGTATTTCATAAACAGTGTTGAACTGCTGGGACAGGGGGACACTGATATGCAGTCTCCCCCTTTCTGTGAAGTCCTGTCCTCTTTTGCATCAGTGATTATGTCACAGGACAGGAATAAATGAAATCATCTTTCTCCAATTTAAATGCTTGGGGAAAAGGAGAAATGGTGGCTTTATTTCTTTGACAGGCATAAATTGTTGTCAGAAGATGATTTAATGTTGGTGATGAGATCAAAGGGAGGAGAAATAACAGGTTTAGTTAATATTTTTTTCTGACTCTCTTCTTCCACAGATTCAGTTGGTCCAGCCAGGTCAGATTCAGATTCAAGGTGGGCAGGCGGTGCAGGTCCAGGGTCAACAGGGCCAGACCCAGCAAATCATTATTCAGCAGCCACAGACTGCAGTTACTGCTGGCCAGACGCAGGTAACTGCACCAACGGGAAAGGATTTTTTTTTTCCTGAAGAGAATTGGAAGGGAAAAAGTTAGAAATAGCTTTATAAGCGTAAAGGTTACCAGGTAATGTGGCAAGAGAAAAAAAACCCAACCTTTGTAACTCCATTTCTTATGGGATTTTGTTTTTTTACCAATTATTCTGTTGGGACAGAATATCTAGGCTTGTTGCTTGTAAGTTTTACCAGCTGTTTCTTGTATTGGCATGTTGTTTTGGAAATTCCTTGAAAGGAAATGTTTAGACCATAAAGAATGCAGTTGAAGTTTAATGGAAATACTGCCTTCTTCTCAAGCTGGTAATCATTTCTGCTCTTACTTATGTGTGAAGCCCTTTTGTGCTTATGACTTAAATTAATTCTTTTCCAGCTGAGTATTCATTTAACACATTTTTCATGAAATGTGAACGTTGCATCCTTTAAAAAAAATACTCCCAGAATGTTAAGTACTACAATGGGTGCAGAGCTGGCATTTTGAAATTCTGAGATGGCTTTGAGAAAAGACATCTGAAAAACCTGTGGCTGGTACTGTGATCACAGAATAAGACCACAACCATTTTTAATGCATTTGCATATTTAGTCAAGTGATTCTAGTTCCTCATTTTTTTTTTTTCTTTTGTAGAACAGGCTTACTTAAATATAGGTTTGGGATAGTATATTGTATCTTCTAATTGCTAGTTCAAATTAGTCCTTAAAAACTCAGTCTTACTTCGTATGGTTTTAATAAAACCCACATATGTATTACTTCTGCAGGCACTATAGGTACAAGGATTACAACATTTGGGTACTTACAGATTGTAAATTTGTCCTTTTCTTTGTTCTGTATAGACCCAGCAGCAAATAGCAGTTCAAGGGCAGCAGGTGGCACAGACAGCAGAAGGCCAGACCATCGTCTATCAGCCTGTTAATGCTGATGGCACCATTCTTCAACAAGGTATGAGCTTGCTTTGGCATATAAAGCACAGTGCATTTGATAGTCTTTTTGTAAGCTGCAGCCGAAAGCTTCCAGTTAATGCTTAGTCCGCTTCCAAGTCTTTTGTTAGTATTAATATTATAGGTCATTACTATTGGCATCTGCAAGACTACCCTCTGTGGGCTCAGGCTCCCCTCCCTGCTGCCCTTTCCGGGGGCCTTCACAGCCCAGCAGCCAGGGCAGAGCAGGGCTGGGAAGCTCGGTGCTGCTGCTGGGAACCCTGTGCCACCATGGTGAGGCACCTCCTGCCTGCCCAACAGCAGTGGGGGTGGCATCGCAGACGTGTGTCCTCTGCTGCGGTTGGGCAGGCAGAGAGGGTGCCTCACCATGGAGGCGTGAGGCTTCCACCAGCGGCATGAGCTTCCCTGCCCTGCTGCATTGGGTCCTGTCCACTTGGCTGTGGTGGCCCTGGAGGGAGGGCCGCAGGGCAGGGAGCCCTGAGCCCACAGCGGGCAGCCTGGACTGCCCCCCCTGCCATGAGCTCTGCTCTAGCCATGCCACCTGTTGGGGGAGGAGAAGCTGGGCTCCATGTTTTGCTCTGCTGCTGTAGCAGCTGCTGTCTACAACTCGTGGCAGCCAGGGCTTAGGCCAGAGGTGGGCCAAATGCAGCCTGTGGGCCGGATGGGGCCCGGCACGGCAGTCTATCCCAGGCCGGATGTGGCCCGCCAGGCCATTCTATCCAGCGCACGGGGCCCCATAAAATTTAGAAAATTAATATTTATCTGCCCCTGGCTGCCTGTCATGTGGCCCTCAATGGCTTGCCAAAACTCGGTAAGCGGCCCTCCGCCCGAAATAACTGCGTGCCCCTGGCTTAGGCGCTGCTATTGGGTCCCTGGCCCTGTAGCCCTGGCAGATGTGGGGGGCCCCCCCTCTGGCAGGGCTGGGGGGCCTGGGCGACTCTGGGTGGGGAGTGACGGGCACTGGCAGAGCCCAGATGGCTTTGAGTGAGGAGGGAGGGTCCCTGGCATGGGCAGGGCACCAACATATCAGGGTTGCTCAGCGCCACAAAGTAGTGGGGGCAACAGCTGCAGCTGGACCCATGTCCTGGTGAGCAAAAGGGACTGGGGGAGCTCTTATTTTCCATGATAAAAATCCCATAATCAAATGCCAAAATGTATAGGTATTTAGAATTTATTTTATTTTAGTGATTGAAGCATTGGTAGGCTTCCAAACTGCTTTAAAATTGTAAATATATCAATAAAACATTGTGTTCAGTGGATACCTATTTATATAGTGGTGTTTTATTTTAATCTCGGAAAAATGAGGATTCCTGGGGTTTTAATCAGAGAATTTATGGTTTTTATCAAAGAACTGGTGATTTTTAAACAGATAAAACTATGGATCCCTGCTGATAACACCTTGTGGTATAATCTGTGGTGCCAAGCATTTGGAATAAGAAATACGTGCAACTATTTTCTTTTTATCCCACGTTTTAGTAAGTTCAAAAGTGGCTAACTTTTTTTTTAGTAAGTTTAAAAATCCTTTTTCCAGCCTGCAGTTGAAGCAGGTAAAAAGATTTTGTTTTTACTGCAGGGCTGGGTATTAGAAAACTGTAAACAGATTAATTTGCAGAGAGGATAAGTGTCTTTTGACATGGAGACTCCAAAAGGGGTTATGAGACAAAAATCAGTTCTCCATGTGGTGGTGCAGTGTTTGTATAAGGTATGACCTCTGGATTTGTGGTAGTTTGCCAGTAGAGAACCCAAGCATTTAAGGCAAAGTGCTCTTTCATCTGTGGCTGCAATACTGCGTATGTGGCGTGCAAACCAAAATAAAAGGCGTGTGCTTCCAAGGTGTATGGTCAGATGATAACAATTGGTTTGTAAGTGCATGCAACTTTTATCCAAGGATGAATGAGTAAAAAATGGAAGTGGGACTAATTGTGTTCCCTTCATTCTTTCTGTGTGCGTGTTTTTGTTTTTTCTTTTTTTTTCTTTTGTGTTTTATTTTCTTAAAGTTACAGTCCCTGTTACAGGCATGATCACCATCCCCGCAGCCAGTTTGGCTGGAGCACAGATTGTCCAGACGGGAGCCAACACCAACACAACCAGCAGTGGGCAAGGAACTGTAACTGTGACACTACCAGTTGCTGGAAATGTGGTCAATTCGGGTGGAATGGTTATGGTGCGTACTGAATTTCCTAGTTTTTTTCTTTTTAGATTTAGCCTGTAAAATCATACCTTGTTGTCTACAAACGCTGCTTTGACATCTATTTTAACTTCATGCTGTGTGGTGTTTAAAGTTTTGTGTGTTTAAAGTTGGTAATTGAGAAGTTTAACTTGTGAGATGCTTTATTACATGGGGTATGCTTCTCTTCTATCACTTGTTATGGAGCTTCAAGAAGATTCAGAAATCGAAGAAATATTTTCAGCAAAGTTATTTAAAGGGGCTTCAGAGAGTCCAGGCCATACTGTTCTACTCCTCAAGAAACCCCTAGACCATTTTTTCAGGTGCAGAAAGTTTTTCCTGCAAATTTCTTACAACATTTGTGGTGAGATGCCCTCCCTTTTGCGTTTTGCTGTTCATTTCCAATAGGTGGCAGCAAACACTTATGAATAATACATACAAGTAGTTGAACAAATGCAGCAGGCACCAAAATAGCAATGAAAGGACTGGGTATATAAGTTACACTGTGAAAGAAACAGTGACTTGCTTTGAGTACTGTCTATTCATAGAAGAAAAAACACAACCAAATATCAGAAGTTGGCAACATGTAATTCTTTCTGAAATAACTAGTTTACAAGTGTAGTGTAGCGTAAATTATGCAGACTAGTGTGTAATTTGATGTTCTGCTAATTTGGAACAAGCATAATTGCTCTTCAATTGATGTCCCCTTTCAATTTTAAACTTAAGTTCTACTTCACGTAGTTTTGTGTCTAGCTTATTCTCTCAACTGTATGCCTATGAAGTGTATTTCTCTTTATACAGATGGTACCAGGAGCTGGATCAGTGCCAGCTATCCAGAGGATTCCTTTGCCTGGAGCAGAAATGCTTGAAGAGGAGCCCCTGTATGTAAATGCCAAGCAGTACCACCGGATTCTGAAGAGAAGACAGGCACGAGCTAAGCTGGAAGCTGAAGGGAAAATCCCCAAAGAAAGAAGGGTGAGGCACACTGAGGAAGGGATGGTATTATATTATAGAGAAAGATATAGAAAATATTTTAGGCTGGCTCAGAGAATATATTTTTCCCTCGCTTTCTCTTATACACATGCATAACACTGTTTCACTAATGTCTTTCTCTTCAAGATTTTATTGACAGAGGCCATTTCTTTGGATCCAGTTGGCAATTTTCTTCATACTTTTAATTGTTGAGAATATATTTTGTTGTGTTGTAAATCAGTATTTATTATACACCCTGTTCTCAAACTTGGTGTTTTTCAGAGTTCAGGGGCTGGTCCTACCTGCTCATTTTGTTATTGTGTAATGTAGACCTAGAAATACTGGATTGAGCCCAAAATATTTTGTTCTTGTTGCAGAAATACTTGCATGAATCCCGACATCGTCATGCTATGGCTAGGAAGCGGGGAGAAGGTGGCCGTTTCTTCTCCCCAAAGGAAAAGGATAGTCCCCATATGTCGGTAAGGAATACCTTTGTTTCCATCAGTTGTTCTTTGCATGAATGACACTTGCAAACACCTTAGAAATACTTTATTTGCTGCTTTTGTTAGCGTGTTCAGCTAGTTTATGGCATTTGTCTTCCTCACTGAGCCACATGTTAGGTTTGGAGAAAAGTTTCCAGTTTCAGTATGCAGAACTCAAGCTGTTTTAAGATATCATATTATTTAGCTTCTCTGTATACTGGATGTATCTGGAACTCTGTCTTCTGAATGTGGTAGCATTAGGAAAGCTATTTTTTTCTTCTGTAGTGAAGACAGTTGTTATTTACCAGTCAGGGAGTTTTTGCATTTACTCTTTAAGCTGCTCTTTTGATTAGAAAGAATAACCTTGTCGAGTCTTGTCCACCTGAAACTTTTAAGCACATTTGATGGCTATACATTAGGACCTCAGTTCGCATGGAACTATTGCAGGTTTAGTCAGAAGCTATAATCTAGCCTCACCTTTGCTGTTCTGTATCTAGTTTACTAGCCTTCCAAGCACAAGAAAGGCCCTCAATCCGGAGTGAAGGATTTTCTGGGTATTCAAGAACACGTAAAACTTTAGAAACAACTACTGCCTTTGCTTTTAAAAACAAACAAACCCCAAAAAGAAGCAATAAAACATGTCTGTGGAATTTTGTGGACGTGTTCACACAGAGGATAGAGAAGTAATACTCCACATGTAGCAACAGTCCATTTAGGTTGCTTGAGGCGCACTGGTGGGATTGTGTCGGGAATCTTGTTGCTCTTAATTAACGTATCAGTTCTGTGAACAGACAGAGAATTTCAGCTTGCAGGGCTGCCAGTCCATTGCCTTTACACAGTACTAAGTGCAAACAGTAACCTACATCAAGGTCCAAAGACCAAATATTTCAATCCCAAAAGACTAAAATGTCAGTCACAGAGAGAGAGATTTTTAAAAATTTTTTTTTTTGGACAAAGGGGTTATCTGCCCTCCAAGCTGGGCTGCTGGAGGTCAATTTGCTACACTGTGAGGGACTGGTGTCAGTGTTCTTGTATGTCTCTTGTTCCCATAGGATCCAACTCAAGCAAATGAAGAAGCAATGACACAGATGATCAGAGTATCCTAACCACTGGCTGAAGAAAAAAGCAACTGAACAAATTTCCTGTCCTTTTGCAAGTGTGCTCTTCCCTACCCATGTATCAAGCAAATCTCAATGGGACAATCGCCATATCGTAGCCTACCCTTTTCTACCGAACAAAACCCACTTTTTCAGCAAGTGGTTTGTTTGAGATTTTAACTGCAGTGGACTCAACAAATAGAAATTAAAAGGACTTTCTTTGTAGACCCATTTACTTTAGTGCAGGGATTTCGATCTGACTACCATGCCTTTTAAATCTCCTGCACTAAAATTGGCCAAGGGTTAGAGAGCCACCTACACAGTGATCAGCAATAATCTGGCATGCAGAAGCAGGGCTAACAAAGACCACTTGGAGCCATGGCCCTTGTACAGAGGAGTAAATCCAGCTGGTAGCAACCTGAGCTGACATGGCTACACCTCAGTGCATTGTTTCCCAAGTTGAGTCTTTTTTTTTTTTTTATTTACATCTACTTCTCACAGCTTTGGACTTCATTTGCTGACACCGGTTCACCGCAGTTACACGTGCACTTCTGGAACTGCATGACAGAACTGAATGGGGTACTCCAAGCTCCGTCCTGTAAAATAAGTAAACAGCAATCTTTTCTGGGAAAAGTTGAACCATCTTTGTCAAGTTGCTTTGAATACTGCAAAACCTTTACAAGACTTGAAATGTTGTATATCTGTTTCAAGGAGTAAAAGGAGTGGCTCGCTGACATAGAGATAAACCAATTAGGAGAAATAATGCGGGTGCTGGTGTTGTTCGATATGCATGTTGATGGCAGCAGATGCTTTGGCAGAAATCCAACTGCAGGCATGAAAAGAATTAAATCCTCTAAGTGACTCTTCTAATAGATATTCAGTGTCTCTCTTAATTTTTGAAAATTGCTGATTCAGTACTTGGTTATTACAAAAGAAATGAAATCTGAAATCTCATAGTAGCAAGACTGGCTATCTCCTGGTGTGACCTGTTTTTCACTGGTATTATGAATTCTACAGAGTTATGTACAATGCCTGAGTCTGTTCAGTATGTAAGATAGCTCTGTTGCCGCTGGAGCAGAGGACAGCTCGACTCGGTGAATCTTAGTCTAGCTGAAGGACTGCTTTATAAATGAAGGCAGACCTTGGTGATCTCTTTCAGGTTTTTTACAAAATAGCCTCACGTTGTAAAGATGACACTTAAGGAATGGTGGGGTTTTTTTTGTTTTTTCTGAAAAACGTT